AGGGGGGACTAGAACTCACAGTCTCCTGCTTTCTAGCCTGGTGCCTTCACCACTAGACCAAACTGGCTCTCTCAGTTCCATTGTCCTCATAGCCAGTGGGGGAGCCCCAGGATCAAACCGGTACAGTCAAGGAACTGGGTTAAAGGAGAGGAAAAAACTGCTCCATATTCCCGAAATGATGTCAAAGGGGAAGTCATTTCCATATACGCCCTGGGCTATTCTCTCAAGTGGATGTTTTGTTGCCCAAGGAGGTTGAGTTAGTTAGCCATAAAGAATGAACAACAGTATCAGGGATGAGTAACTCGGTGCCCTTCATGTGATATGAGAATTACAGTTCTCATAATCTCTTTAGCCTTCACTGGTGTTGGAAGGACATCAGGTGGGCTATGGAATCTAACTGGAAGGCTGTCTAGACTGCTGGCTATGAAGGGGCCAAGTGCCTTGTCTAGTTACTAGGGCTGAGCCTTTCCCAAGATGATACTTTGGTTGTCCTCTTGGCTGGGGATGTTGAAAGTTGTTCTCCAATACATTTTTCACGTTGAAAAGAGACTTCAGGAAGTGTGACCACATCTATAAGCAAACAGGACTATTTTCTGTTAGTTGGTATTAAGGATTACAGAGAATTGGTGGCATGCAAAACATTTGTGGTGAGAGCCTGTAGTTATATCAAGTTGTGTTGATGGATTTAATTAGCTAGACTCTACCTCTGGTTGTAGCACATGCAATTTTATCAGACGGAGCTTTCTTATCCTGTATTTCAGGCTATAGGAATTTCTGTCTTTGCAATCTAAGCAGACCAGCTGGTCTACACAGTAGTTGGGAAGAAAGGTCAACCAACTGGCCAGATAAATGTAATCCTGTGGATATCATTAAGTGTGTCCTGAGCAGTCTGAGTCCACCTGCAGGAGCTAGTATAACTATATAGTGACTCCTTATATTCTGTTTGTGATCTGTCTTCATTCCAAAATTATACAGGAAGCTGGCGCTTGTCAGAAAAGTAATGCATTTGTTGTGTAACATTTGAAAGAACCCTTCCCCCATAGTAATCAATAAAAGCTCTATCTTGGTTTTCATTCCACCTTTGTATACAGTACCTTTTCTCCTTCCTCTGTTACAAGTTGTAGATGCTGTTGTTTTCTTGCTCTCATTTAGATAAGGAACAGCCAGGGATGAACCAATAAGGCTGTCATTTTGTTAACAGGACTACAGAAAGCCGCCTTTTTCACTTGCGTTCCAATACACCAGGGAACTCAGTCTGGGATCTTTTGTATGTAAAACAGATGGTCTACTGCTGAGCTATAACCTTTCTCTACTAGGTACCTAAGGAAATGATCTGTTACTGAATGAGATTTGGGTTTGAAATTAACATTTACTTCTTCCATGTAAGAAACTGATTGATTGATTGATTGATTGATTGATTGATTGATTGATTGATTGATTTTGGTGCCTTTGAGTCAGTGTTGAATCTTGGCAAATACCTGGACAAGTCCCTGCAGTCTTCTTGGCAAGATTTTCGAAAGTAGCTTGCCATTCCTAGGGCTGAGAGAGGGAGACTGGCCCCAAGTCACCCAGCTGGCTTTGTGCCTAAGGCGGGACTCGAACTCATAGTCTCCCGGCTTCTAGCTTACTCCACCTTTCAAGACCTCGAGTTGATATACTTCCCCACTTGGATCCAGAACACAGGGGGGGTACTCTTGGGCTTGTGGAACCTTCTTCTGTGCCCAGGAAGATCTTTCCGCAACACCCCAGGGATCAGATGACCCTACTGGCTTTCCGTAGAGATGTAAAGTCCTGGCTTTTCCCTTACGCACTGGGTTGGGATGGTAGGTCAGCCTATTCTGCAATATGTGTGTGTGTTATCATTGCCAGCCTTTTTGTTCACTTTTTTAAAGTGCTTTTTATGCATTTCTTTGAAAGTGTATGTATTTGCATTGTAACTATCTTTGTGTTTTATTCCTTTTCCTTTTCTGTTACTCTATTTTAAAAGCAAAAAAAAAAAAAATTGCCAGCCTTGATTATGTGTTAATTGCATGTTCTTTTTGCTTATTTTGGTTTGGCATTGTATTTTTTTTATTTTGATTTTTTCCCCCTGATTTGTATTGTCATATGCTACCCAGAGTTACAGCTTTTATTAAGTACTATGGGGGGGAGGGATTCTTTCAAATGTAACACAACAAATGCATTATCAATCTCTTAAATAAAGAGTCATTGGGAATCAGATGGCATACAGATTTGATAAATAAAAAGTATTCCATTCTCCTGTTTTGCCTCCAAACAACAACCCTGTGAGGTAGCTTGGGCCAAGAAAGAATAACAACAACCAAACAGCAACACTGAGCTGCTGTGCCTGACCAGAACCTGCTCTCTCTGCAGCTAGTCCAACGGTTTAACTACTCCACCGCACTGGCTCTCTTTTTTATCCCATACTGTCATTTTAATTAATTTGAGGTATAGGGGAACTTGCTTTCACTCTCTGGGATATGATGGTGGATATACCCACACCATCAAACTTAAAAGTTTGGTCCCTGTGGCCTGTCGGATGTTTGGATATAAAGACAATAACCTTACTGGTTGCTTTCAAGCAACTGAATGCTGTGACTGAAACCAAACTTTGTTGTACTCCACTTT